CCAAATACAAGCTATAAAGTATACATTCATTATCTACTCTGATGTTAATCTCTCAGAGCTCACTGATTAGAACCTGCTTGCTGGTTGTAACAAATATTTTGCAGGCAAATATAGAATAAAAATATGTTTTAAAAATCTAAATCTTTCATATTGTAGTGTAGTGCACATGAATTATATCAAAAGGATTTGCTGTAAATCACTGCTTATTAAAACCGTAAAAAAATATTATAAAAGGATTTTTTTTTAATTCAATTTAGAAATTGTTTCTTATTATCATTACTAGAGCAATTCATATTCGTACTTTTTATGCTTTAGATTAGAGGGAACCGTTGGAGTTGGCTGTGTAGTGTCTAGCGATAATCTAACTAAGACATTCGCAAATCCGTGAAATATATTTTAGGTAGTATACTCGGCATGAGTGTAAGATTGCCAATAGGCTAAAAAATTTATATGTTTTGGACGTAGAGACTCTACAAAAGGAAACAGGAATTCTTCTTAATAACCCTTAATAATAACCCTTAAAAGGGCTACATCAAAAAAACAAACGTTTTTTTGATGTAGCCCTTTTAAGGGTTTTTAAATAAATATACCCATTTACGAAGATTAACCTCTTTTTTGTGATATGTGGTATACAGCCAGCTACACGAATTGTTTTCCTTGTGAAAAATGCTAGAGAATGCACCGACCACCGTACCATAAGCCTGATGTCTCACACACTTAAATTGTTTTTAAAGATCATTCATAAAGGCATTTACAAAACACTTGATATGGATATTAAAGAAACTCAATTTGGATTCCGTAATGGCGTAGGTACCCGTGAAGCTCTCTTTGCATTCAACGTACTAATCCAGAGATGCTTGGATGTGAACCAAGATATGTACGTCTGTTTCATAGACTACAACAAAGCTTTCGACAAAGTCCGCCACAAAGAGCTAATGGACATCCTCAAAGCAAAACAACTACAACACAATGACCTTCGAATTGTAACAAATCTATATTATAAACAGCAGGCACACGTACGCATTAATGAACACACATCAGAAGAGTTCGAAGTTAAAAGAGGAGTGCGACAGGGGTGTGTATTGTCACCACTACTATTCAATGCAAACTCTGAAGAAATTATGAAAAGAGCTCTTGAGGGAGAAACAACAGGAATCAAGGTCAATGGAACACCAATTAACAACATTAGATATGCGGACGATACTATTATAATAGCAAACAACCTCCAAGACCTCCAAAAGCTAATGAATAAGATAGTTGAATATGGAGAAGAATATGGATTATCAATAAACACCAAGAAAACCAAATTTATGAGGATATCGAAAACCCAAAATAATGATGAAAGCCTGACAATTAACGGTAATGCTTTAGAACAAATTGAAAACTACCACTATCTCCGTACAATAGTTAATCACACAAACGATTACTCCAAAGAAATGAAAGTTCGAATAGAGAAAGCACGTACAAACTTCCATAAAATGGGAAAGGTACTTTGTGCAAGAGAACTAAAATTGGACTTGAGAGTTAGGCTGGCAAGGTGTTATATTTTCTTGACCCTGCTTTATGGGATGGAAGCATGGACACTTAACGCGTCGACTGCTAAAAAGTTGGAAGCATTTGAAATGTGGGTATATAGACGAATTATGAAGATATCATGGATCGAGCATGTGACAAACAACGAAGTCATGAGAAGAATCAACAAAAGAATGGAAGTATTGGAAACCATCAAGACACGAAAGCTGTAATACCTGGGGCATGTTATGCGTAATAAAAGATACAACCTACTTCAATTGATTATCTGATATTGGGAAAAATCCAGGGCAAGAGAAGTGTAGGAAGAAGAAGAATCTCATGGTTGCGTAACTTGAGGGAATGGTTCGGATGCACATCAACTGAACTATTCAGAGCAGCAGCATCTAAGATCAGAATAGCCATGATTATTGCCAACCTCCGCCGCGGAGATGGCACGTGAAGAAGAAGATATACATAAAGTTCAACATTTTCTATGGTATGATTTTGTATTGTTATATTTGTCTGGTCTCGGCTCAGTATTTTTGTTTTGCTGTAGTTAATTTTTAAGCCTACCGCTCCTGAAACTGCATAAAATATCATTTAATTCTTGGATATTATCGGCTATTAAAACTATGTCATCTGCGAATCTCAAGTGGTTTAAGTATGATCCGTCAATGTTGATACCCTTATTGTTCCATTCTAGTTTCTTAAAAATGTCTTCTAGATTAAGGGTAAATAGTTTGGGAGAGATGGTGTCTCCTTGTCTTACTCCCCGTTGTAGTCTTTGTAGTCCTTTGGGTTTAGTATTTGTGCTTTCGTCTACCTTATCTGCATGGTGGCATTTTCATATATGTTTTTAATTATGTTAGTGCTTCTTGAATCTATACGTGCATTTTATAGAGATGCAAGCACTACCCAAAATTCGATGGAATCGAGTGCTTTATGGATATCGACGAACGCCATATGAATTGAATTGGAACATTATACTCGATGCATTTTTCTATCAGTGTTCTTACGGTGTGCAAGTGGTCTATGGTACTAAAATGTTTTCTGAATCCAGCCTGATCGATAGATTGATAGAAATCGAGCTTATGTGTTAGGCGGTTGGTTATGATTTTAGTTAGTAATTTATATAAATGTAATAGCAAGGATATTGGTCGGTAATTCTCGATGTTTGCTTTGTCTCCTTTCTTGAATAGTAAAATGACTTCGGAGTTGTACCATTCTTGAGGAATCTTTCCTTCATCAATTACTTTATTAAATAAAATTAATACCTGTTTCATTGTTCTGCCACCAATTTTCAACATTTCAACTGTAATTTTCAACTGTAAAATTACAGTTGAAACAGGAATTAGTAAAAGTAATATGGGACATTTGTAAATTAGAAACAAGCAGAATAGATTATCTTTAGCCTTAACTGGTCTAGAAACTACTGGATGCGATTAGCTTAATAATTCTGATAATGTTGTACGAAGTGACGAAGAGTACCAATATCAAAACCGATTCAGTGAAAAGTAAAGATAAGAAAGATAAATTGGATCCTATAAACTGGTAAATAGGATATCCTTCTATTCTATATCGTAAAAGGTAAAGTAAATTAAGTAAAAGAAAAATGTAATATAATTCTACTTTTTAATTTTGCCATTATCTTAATATACTTAACGAATAAAATTCGTTAAGTTTTCCCTTTAAAGAGATGCTGCGTCAGTTCTAGATCGGATCAACAAATTCATCTCGACAACAATAACATATTGCTTGAATTTTGTAATCGATTTCTATTTTAACAAATGTGACTCACGGCTGGCGCCTCAAATCGTTGATTAGTATCGTTGAATGAATAACATTATTTTAAGTATTTCACTTGAACTTTATATAATTATTTGTGGTCGACAGAATGTACCGATGACAGCATTTTTGTTAAACATAAATTTGAACATTTGTTAATACAGAGTCTTCTGTAGCCGTTTATCGGTTATGGAACCACGATAATTATACATTATTTAGCTATTTACCATCATTCTTGTAACAGAACTATGGTGTTTATGTGAAACCTGGGATCTTCTGACCACGTTTTTTTATATTTTTCTCTGAAAAAGGAAATTAATTACAAGAAGTCATGGTAGAATTGAAGGTTTCGGTCAAAAAATTAGTCAACTCCATTTTTTATAATTTGTGGAAAATCAATAAAAACTTTCTAATATTGTTATTTGTAGGAATTTTTGTCAAAAAAAAACCAATTAAGTATTGGTATTAGAAAATAATTTAATATCAAACTGATACAAAATATTGTTTGAGATTTCGTCAAAAAAAATTAATGTCTCGGAGTTTATTGTTTTTTTTTTGCACCGAACCTCCAAAAACTACACAAATAAAGCAATTAATTTGAAAACAAAGTTTTCAGTGTTTTATTGTTAAATAAAGCAACAGTATTGCGTTCAGCATTTATCATTAATTTTTAATTCAAAGCAAGTCTAAAAAACAAGAAAAATTAAAGAGACCATAGGAAAAAATACCAAATAATGTGACAAAAATTTAAAAAACAACTTTTCAGCAAAATAACCTGATATCTAAAACATAATATGTATATAAAACATAATATAATATAAAACTAGAAATCTTCAGTTTCAACTTCGCCACTGTCACGATCCAGTTCTTCTCCTTATGGACCGCAGGAGTGTGACGTCACGACTGTAACATTGTCATTATTACTTTCCAAACAAAAGTTGAAATGTCCAATCTCAAGACTTTTTAATTTCTGTAAAGTTAACATTTTGCTTCCTCTGCTGCTTTTTCTTGTAAGCATAGTGTTTTTTACGATAATTCAGAGTTGTATTTCTATGAAATATAGTTTAAAAGTTTAAATTAATGAAATTCTAACCTTACTTTATTGATACATGCATTTTATTGCTATTAGCATAAAACAATGTGCTTTATCATTTACACAACTTTGTAAAATTGTTGTAGTAACTATTAGAATACTTAAATATTGCAAAAAGTGGAAAGAAAGTTTGTTTGGAAAGTGAAACTGACAGATGTCAATAAAATCGACGTCATCACTCCTGTGGTCCATTGTTCTTCATTTTGATTTGTGAGGTTATATAATGGAGGTACGTATTTATTTGCCAAAGACATCACATTTTCTATTTTTTGGGGTTTATTTTAAGCGGAAATGTGTTGTACAGTTTAGTATAGGTAACGAATTTTGACAAGAGCTATGACCCTGTAAATAACAGGTAAACTTGTTTACTATATCGGCATGACTCATAGCTTTTGTCAAAATCCATTACCTCTACTTGGCCAAACTAAAACTACGTTAGGTTTTTTGATGACAAATGATGAATATAGCGTGGTACCTGCTGACACTTACACTGTATATTGTTTTTTCTTTCATATTTGAAAATACGATACTTGGAGATGGCAAATCTTTCTTTTTGTTGGTTATATGACTTTTTTAAAAATAGGTTTAAAAGTATTTGAAAAATTGATGATCATATCCTAACGTCTATTATGCGAAACTGTTTTGACGTTGTCTTGACTAATTTTCTCCATTCAGAAGGCAAGTATGCTATTTCTTTCTTTCGTTTTTCTTTTTCAATCAGACCAAAGCAACGGTCGCACGGTACAAAGCTGTGGCCGGGTCCTGGAAAGTGATGTATAATTTGCTGAATATTACTATTGAAAGCATTCATAAATATATAAAAGAACTGCACTATGGTGTGATTTTTGTTTTTTTTTTTGCAAAACAGTTGACCGAAAATAAATAGAGGGTCGAAACAATTTCCAGGACAAAGTTTGTTAAATAATGATGTAAAAAACTTACCACTTCGTTACAACCTTTTTTGGCAGTGAGCTCATGGTACATATAAAAAGTAGCCTCTCTTTTCTTGGCAGAATTTACAAATAAGTTGTATTGCCAGAACTGCCTTTTATAGAATACGTCGCCTGAAGGAATATGTGGCAGTGGCAGGTTTTGTTGATAATGAAAGCTTAAGACATCAACTGATTCATCTTCGCGAGCAAGATTGGTATATTTCCTTAATTTGGTATACAATATTTCGGCCTTCAGTAACTGTAGACGCTTTTCAATTTCCAATCGGGTTTTAGTTTCTGCATTGAATTCTGCGGCAATTGTGTTGTTTAAGCAGTCACATTTCTGGCAAGTATCTGATCTGAGATGACCAAAACTAAGATTATGATTGAGATTAAATTACCGGTGATAAAAATCATATGTTACTTAATGTCCTTTTAATATTTCCCGTCTTCTAGGATAACATACTTTTCTGGCTCATATTTTTCAAGTTACAGGCGATGCATTTTTGCAACATTCAACTTAGGACTTCAGGAGATAAAAAATACCTTTTCTGATTATCTTCCCTACTATAATGAGATTTTCTTCTGGAAAACCTCCGTATATGTTCCTCGATTTGCGCTATTCTTGCTTCACTGATTTTGTTTGGTCTATTGGAATGCTTCCCACGTTTATCAGAAGGTGACATAATACTACCCAGAGTCAGATTTTTGACAATTTGAGACACTCTATTTTTTGATACTCCATGCAAAGAACAGAATGCCTTTTTACATACTGTGGTTTCCTGACTTCCTACACGTAACTAAAAAAAAGACATTTTTGAACCAACTATTATAGTTAGTAACAAAAATATTACCTTATACTTATAGGTACTGTTTTTTTCTCTCTCCTCTCCTGTAGTCGGGCGTTTCCTTTGCACTTTTGAAACGCTGATTAATCCTCCTAGATACATGTCTTGTTTAGTTTTATCTCCCGTACTATAAAACTGCTCAAGTATGTTATGTTTGTGGGTATCGTCTACTTTAGTAAAACATATATTTCTACAATGGCAATTTGGTCCAGTAGTTTTCTTTTGAATTAGTTTTTTTGCCGAATTAATATATTCTTCCCCTCTATCCTGTTTACTGTTCATAACGTTTCGTTTCCAGTTGCTTTCCATCCTTTTCCGGTTTGTGGCTTTTTTCTTAACGGTTTGAATGTTTGAAGTTTCTGTATTATTACGCACAGAAGTTTTTTACTGTTCATTATTTTGATGGGTACCTTTTTTAGCAATAACAAAATGCCTACAATCCATTTAAGACGACAAAAGGACTTCTACAAGGCTGTGCTACATCCCCTAGTTTGCTTAAAATATTCTTGGAAAAGACACTCAAACCATGGAGGAGAAAGTGCGAAGGAATGGGCATACCAGTAAGAGACGAATACCTATACACCTTAAGTTTTGTCGACGATCAAGTAGTCATCGCACAAGATGAAGAAGATCTCAGCTTTATGCTCAGAAAACTAGAAGAAGAATATAAAAACAACGGAATGGAAATAAACTTAGAGAAAACCGAATACCTAACAACAGAAAACAAGGATATGAGAAACCTAGAGATAGACGAGGGAAGACAAGTAAATGGAACAGACAAATTCAAGTATATAGGAACCATAATATCGAACCAGAGAACAACAGAAGAAGATATAAACAACAGACTAAGACAAACAAGAAACTGTATAAGACAACTAAATTCAGTGCTGTGGGATAAGAACGTTACGATAAAGACAAAAAACAGAATATATAATACCCTGACAAGAAGTAACCTGACATATGGGTCCAAAAACCGGACAATAAACAAGAGAAATAGAGGTAGAATAAGAGCAGTAGGACAGAGGACGCTGGATAAACAAAATCACAGAATGGAGCCCGATCGAAAGAAGAAAGAGAGAAAGACCCCGAAGGTCCTTCAGAGACGAAATCGACGAGGCTATGGAGAAAAGAACCCTGCGAGATGGAGACTGGAATGACAGGGAAAATTGGAGAAAACGGTTGAGTGAAGGAATACCGTGAAAACTGTGGAAATCCTTAGTAGTAGTAGTAGCAAAATACTTTGATCGACGTCGACTAGGACCCGGAACATCAGAATCGGAGGAACCCGATAAAACGTAGTCAGTCCCAGAATCTGCATATGAATCTTCCTCACTAAATTCACTACTTAACTAATATTCATAATGCAACGATCTTTTTTACACTTTATTCGTACCGCCCACACACTACTGCAATGTTCAAAACTAATAATAATTGATATGCTATGCGCTATGGTATTCGGTTTGTCATCGCCCGTGGCCTGATTCTCCGATGTTGACAATGTTGCCATTGGTGGCAAGAAACAGTCATCTCCTGGAGTTTATCGATTCTTGCACCTAAGTACTCGTATTTATTGATGCAGTCAAGTCATTAGGCCATATATTTACCTTAATATTTATTGGAGATGGCTGATCCTTGCACCAAAAGATGTGCAAACGTAGTTCATATACGATGCACATAAAAACTGAATTTGGGTAAAAAAATGGAGTTGACTGGTTTTTGCACCGAACCCTTCAATTGTTCTGCAAATGTTTTCTTAGTAGCAAATTATAAATCTATTGACATGAATAACCAAATAATAGTGACAATATTTGTATGCAATAAAAAAGAAATACAGAAAATACAATCAAACTGCTTAAGGAATATCTAAATAGTTTACCAAAGACTAAAATTTACGGGATGGCAGTTACTTATGAACAGATTGGACACTGAGAATGTAACCTATATCTTGCACATCTGCCACCATAAATATGTAGCCAGAAAAAATCCTTAAACTCTCCATAAAAAAGTGACTATGTAGCCAGAAAAAATCCTTAAACTCTCAATAAAAAAGTGACTGAGTTTTATTAAGAGCACGGGATTTCTGGTATAACATGACTGATTTTATTAAAAATAGGTTCTGAATTATAAAAAATAGAATAAAACGAAAATTAACATTATTTTCCGCCATCAAAAGTGAACCATATATTTAAAATCAAACAGAAATTACTTATGTAGCTAATTTTCTTGGTTGGATGATGTTTGAGCTTCAACTTGCGCCTTATTTTTTGGTGTTCCTGTTCCTGTTTCCTTGCACTAGTTGTAAACGATTCATATTTTGAACATTGATACTTCTTTGGTTTATGGAATCCTATATTGAATTTTTTATTGAAAATTCTTTTATAAATTTATTTTTTGACATAATCTTGTTTTTCTTTTTGTACATCAGTGAATATAATTCAGTGGCCCTTCCAGGTTTATCTTTTTGTTTTCGTTTAACAGTAATGTGACTCGATATGAGGGAACAAATTTTAAAAACATTGTTTGAAATATCAAGCGTAGCAGTAAAAAACTTTTTACAGACCCTCACTTTTTTGTCATTTAATAGGAAATGGTAAGCCTTATTAATTGAACGTTTACGGTTACTATCTTTATTATTAGGTCAAATATGAGTCATACATTTTGATATGTAATCTCTTTGGCGAGTCTTATCCAATAACTTATAAAATTTTCTTAGCAGTTATTTCCTATAATCTTGATTTATTTTTTGTGGTCATTTATATAAGTAAATAGTTATCACATGGCGGTTTTAAATTTTTCGTTTTGTGTAACTTCAAATAGCTCTGCCCTGTGGAAATCCCATATTTTATTACATTTCTCTTTCACGTCTCTAAATTAATCATTCTTTTTCGAACAATTTTTTTCCTGTAGACTAGGATCTATCATTTATACTCCACACATCTTATTTGGCTCATCGGTGTAGCTTAAATCATCAGCTTGCGTGGAAGATACTTTCAATTCATTGAGTGTATGCAAATATTCATTTTCACGAACATTTTTTAGTAAAGAATAAATCTTACTTGATCTTGTGTCCGGTAAATTCTGATCAGGATGCTCATCTGTATCACCCACATATTCTGAGTCACTTAAATTAAATTATTAAATCCATGAAAATACTAGGCAATGTCTTCAGCAGTATATTCCGCTGTGGATTTCGCAACAGTTCCAGCAAGGCGAAACTCTTCCTTTTCTACATCATCTGAAAACCAAAATTATTATATCTGTTTAAAATGTTTACCTATTTCTAAATTTGCTCACCATACACCTACACCAAACACGCTACTTTTCCAGAATCGGTTATTCATAGGATACATATTATTGATGATTATCACTTACGTTTTGAATCATTTTTGTTCTTTCGTAACTATTCTTCACAACTAGAGCTTTTTGCTAGAAACAAATTATAAATGTGTGACTACATGCAAATAAACCTGTTGCTACAGGTCGATGATGGTGTGGCACAGGCAAGACATCGAAAATGATTTGAAGTGATGATTTCATTCAACACTTAGATATCTCACTGTTGTTGTTTTCACTGTTAGTCCAATCGTCTAAAAATCATACGAAAAAGCTGAATTTTGCCGAGAATATTAATTTTAAGACCCCAGTAAAGATGCAACCACTTTAACACAAAGGCTTTCTCCTAAAACCCCTTGGTAAGGGGGTAAAAACACAAAAAAAAAACTATTTACCAAAAATCTGTCGTAGTAAAAATGTTTCAAATAAAAATGTGGCTGAGATATTTTTAAACAAAAATGTTTATCTATACTTTTTGTGTAAAATAAACTGTTCTCTCAGGAACAACGCTTAAAGCAACCGTCGATTTTGAATGTCAGTTAGGTGTTCGAAATCATCGTTTAATAAAATTTGTATCAGCTCGACAGTAAAAATTCGGTATCTGTTGAGCCAAGTGTCCTATTGACAAAAATCAAGATACGTTTTAAAGGCAGGGAGTGCAGCTTTCGTATGCAGTTTTTGTATTTTGACACAAATAGACTTAGTTTTTATAAAGGTGTTAAATAAATAAATGTGGCTGGCGTTTTTGCAGTTTTTTAAGATTTTCTTGAAAACAATGAAATTCATTACTTTCACTGAGCAGTCGTAGTAAGATTTCCATGTTTAAAAATTAGTCTTTAAAACCTATGACATAAAATTTCAATTATGAATTGCGGTAACAAATATGAGGTATTTGAAATATGAATAAATAATGTAGAATTTAATGTTTTACATTTCAAACGATCACAAGAAATGCCTTCAAGAAGATGGTTTTTGATGCAGTTTATAGCAGAAAATTGGTTCTTTTGAAAAATGTACTAGTTTTATTAAAAATAAAAAGTTCTAAACTTTTTAAATTTTTTGTTATGTGAAAGTTTAAATCCAGCACTTTGAAGCATATTTCAAATGAATCACATTTGTTACCAAAACTCAAAACTAAAATTTCATGCAATATTTTTTAAAGGTTAGGCTTTAGTAATCGAAACTTTAGAGTTTCCAGTCAATAAATGGGATAGCTAGTATTGATCTCATAAAAATCATAAAAAATGGCAAAAATGGCGCCACGTATATTTATTTAACAGCCTTATAAAATTTCAGTTTACTTGTATCAAAATACAACACTACATACGAAAGTTAAACTCTTTACCTTTAAAACGTATTTTAACTTTTGTCAGTTCACATCGATACTCCATACCGAGCGGACGTTAAATGGTTCTCTGTTATCAACATTCGACCGGTTTTCTCGATTTGAACAGATAAATGTGAAGTGATTAAAAAGCAATCAATTAGTAATAGACTTAAAAATAATAAACTCATCAAATTAAATTTAAAAACAATACAGTAATTTATTTATAATGTTTCCAACGGGAAATGGACCAGGATTCGACAACTACATAGTTAGCCAACAAATACAAAATGTAAACAGCCAGCCATTACCAATCCAGTATCCATCAAACCAAATGAATTGTTACCCACAAATGCAGATTCCAAACAACACACAGGGTCAATCACAAATCAACAATATACAGGGTTATCCACAAATCTCATCACAAATACCAGGTATGTACAATATGCAAATAAATCAACCAACCACTAATTCTTCGACGAATATGATATTTCCGCCCAATCAAGAACAATATATAAATCAACAAAACGCGGCACACAACAGCAATATAAATAACAGAAATAGCCAGCAATACTACAGAATGTCATCAACAAGCGATGACGAACCAGAAAGTGCAAATGTGTCAACAAATAACTCATGGCAAGTAGTTAAA